GTTGAAAAGTCGGATAACCGAAAAGTATGAAAAAATCCATTATTAGTGTAGTATATTATTATATCCCATGTAATTAGTATATTAGTATATTAGTATATCGCTATTAACCTACTTTGCGTTGAATTTTCATCGATGTTAAGCCTAACAAAAATTTTTTAAAATAATAATCATCGCTATTGTATCGTTAAAAATTACAAAGTTAAGCCTCGTTTAAATACTTGCTCCCTTTCATGGTCGATCCAGTGTTGCCAGCTAAAACACGTAAAAATAATATTAAAGTAGCCAAGACAGCCAAATATTGTAGCACCACATTATTTGAAATTTGCCGACTAGGACAGTCGGTTAACCGAGGGGTCGGTTGATAGGGGGTCGGATAATCGAGGTTCTACTGTATGATATGGTGTGGTTGTGGTTCATGTTTGGTATCATTCTAAATTTTGTTCATTTTTTTTGTTTTCCTATTCAATAATTAAAATTATAACAATAACAAAAGAAAGCAAACACTTTCACACCTATATGAAAACAAAACACAGAACACATAGAGAAACTGTTTATTAAATGTCCCATTGAAATTCAATGGTGCATATGCTAGTATATACACTGCCCATCAAAAATTGGACATGGATCACAAAAACAACAATATTTCCAAAACCACTTAAACAAATTTATAAAACTTTTATAGTGTTATACATACATACTTTAGATATACACTACATACATTTGTGAAAACATGAGTGAATGTTAACAGAAAAAATAAAAGATGAATGCAAGTAACAATAAATATGAATACAAAAAAAGAGGTTTGAATACTCAGATGACGGAGAAGGGGTTAAATGTATAAATATTGAATCACAATGTAAGTACAGTATTTTAAATAATGTCACAGAATATTCAAATGGTTCTACTTTAGAACTCAACATAGCTCCTTCATTTTTGGAATGGCTTCTAACCTGAAGCAGTCCTTAAATTGGGCTGCAAACATTTGTTTGTAAAGTTACTGCTGGAAACATATGAAAGATGTGTTTATATGATTTTATTTAAGAGTTGACATTAAGAATATTAAAACCAATTTTAATATTGAACAACAATCAACAATGTTATCTAAACAAACTGTTGGTTTGTTTAGATAATGTTGTTGATTTTAGTTTATTTTTAATCTTTATAAATTTTCCTAGTTTACAGATATATCCAAAATCAATAGTGATACTGTGCTGGCATTAATGGGAAATGCTTGAGTAGAGGCTTCTGTCCCAATGGCACTGTGTTTTGAACTAAGTTGTTAGCTATTATTTAGTGTGTTTGCATCATTTTACATAGATGTCCTCTTAATAAGGCTATCTATGTTGTTTCTGACAGTCAAGCTGCTTTTCAGGCACTTGACATCACTTCAGCACTTATTTGGAAGTGCTGTTTGCATCTCTTTGAACTGGTTGTTCACAACAAAGTTCTTCTCTTGTGGGTGCTATGGCATGAGGGAATTGCTGACAATATAGTGCTAATTTACCTAAAAAGCAGGAAGCTTTTTATCCTTTATTGGACCTGAATCAGTTTTTAATATTTTTTCTTATATTTTTTTTTCTAGTGATATTAAAGAGTGGACTTTTTTAGTCAATATTGTGGAGAATAATTCCTGGTCTAAAGCAGAGTAAGGCATTTTTGCCTAGCTTGCTCTCTGTGTAGATCATTCAGTTTTTTTGGTAAAAATTATGTTCATTTTTGGTTGACATTGTGACTAGTTTTGGTCACTTTTGTAAACATTTGTGCTAAATGAAACTCTTCTCTTCTGCTTTTTTCCATATTTGCAAGTTTTTGAGACTTCTCTGCATCTCATTTGTGAGTGCAGAACTTCGTTTAGACAGGTCTTGTTCATTTTTTTTTTTTTTTAGCCTTGGCAATATTTCCCATTTTTCCTTCAGATGTCTATTATCTTTCTTTTAAAGGGATCAAACTTCCAAAGTAATTTCTTATGGAGTACACAATGGACCTTTTAGTTTAAAGCACTTCTGATTTTGCGCCCATATGTGCAATCTATAATTAAAATCCACTTATACGACATAATGCTAGCATTCACAATGCATACAAATGTAAAACACAATGTTTACTATCCCCCTAAGTACTTTATTATAATAACTCCAGAAATAGTACAAAATAGTATCTACTAGCTCAGTCTTATGGTTGAAAACACAAATTGCAGTAAAATACATTTAAGATAAAAACATTAAAAATTGTTTAATTGTCTTTTGTTATTCATTGCTTAATTAGTTTTGCTAATTCTTTTGTGGGTAAGTGAATTTTATCTTTACAAATATAGGAAGAATATAGTATACTCGGAGACATAGTTGGTTCCACTTAATTGGAACACATCAGAACTTGATTAATTTGTCCATTAAGTTGCTATCCCCCAATAAAGCAAATATTAAGGAAACAATGTAGGAATACTGAACTATGTTTATGTGAATTGACTGGATAAAGAATGTGCAAATATTAAGCTTCTATCATACATTATGGGGAAGTTGTGTAATGATCACACTATATTTATAATTTTATTTATACTGTATAAATTAATAATTTTCAAGTTTTTTCAATTTTTTTAATATTTTACATCCCATTACTATATAAATTTTAAATTCATAATTATCATTGTTCATTAAATTATAAAAATAAATGGTTATGTGATATGTAATAGAATTTTTATAAATATTAAATGAAGTTATTTAAGTACTTTCCTAAAAAAATCAACAGTGATAATTATTTATAATTATTGTTAAAAATAAAATAGAATGCTTTTATATATATTTCAGGTTGTTTCTTGGATTGTAACAATGTGGATATTTGGATCTTTGGTTATATTTTTATTAGCAAGGGTTTTAGGAGGAGAGGTATTGTCATTATTTCATTACTTTTAGTTTTTAAATGACTTCTTTAACAAAAGTAAAGAAAAAGTAAAAAAATATATTTAATTTGTTAATGTAAAATTTAATTAAAAGCATTGTAAGTTTTAGTAATATTATTTTAAAATATTTGAAAATTGGAGACACAGTTGATTCCACTTAATTGGGACATACCAGAACTCGATTAATTTGTCCATTAAGTGGCTATCCCCCAATAAAGCAAATATTAAGGAAACAAAAAAAATCCAAGATAAAAAATGATCAATAAAGACAAAACCATTGAAAGTTCATTGAAAAATATAATTAATGTTCAGTGTGAATATATACTGTATATGTAAATAAATTCAAGTTTAAAAATAACACTAAAATGTAATTATTAAACAAAAAAGAAACAATTATTTTTTGCAAGGTATGATAAAATGGCTCTGTTTTATTTGCATTGTAGATTTGATCAGATCTAAATTTCTACAGCAATTCAAGCAACTTAGTTGATTTCCACTCTTTAGCACTTGTAGTGTCAGCACTGTTTTTTCACTGTGTGCCCTATTAAATTTTATTTCTTGTCTGGTTTCCATCACAATAATCACCCATCTGTAGCTTTGACATTTGTGTGACCCATCTTTGTAGATATATAAATACTGTATATCCTCCATCTCTTCTGATTTAGTTTTACCACTAGCCATTATCATGTACAGTACTCTTCTTTGTTGCATATGCTCAGGGCTGTCAAGAGCTTGTGCAGGGTCCAGGGTAAAGCTGGCTTCCTCTTCACCTTACTGGGCCTCTGTTGCCAGGTTTTTTTCTTTATTTTTTTTTTGAACAAACAAGATAAGTAGAATGTTTCTTTATTAATTAAAGTCAGTCAAATATTTTATTTATTATTAGTAAAAATAACATTAATTTATAGGGGTTGAAACCACTATGGGCTATGATATTTTCTCAGGGCCCAAGGAAAAATTTCTAGCTTCCCTTCTCTTTCGTCAGCCCTGCACATGCTGTCCCAATAAAGTGGTGGGATGTCCCAAATAAGCAAAGTAAATTTGTCTTATATTATATCTTTTGTTTCTGTCCTTTGATATATGTCCCAAATAAACAGTGGTCCCAATTAGCAATTAACTGGAATGTGCTGTATATTAAAAGTACAAAAGTGGATAATTAAAAGTATTTTCAAAAATATTATAAAAGAAACAAAAATGCATATGAATATATATTTATATATTTTTAGAGAGATTAAATTGGCAGTTTGTCTAAATATGCATTACTGAAAAATGCAAACCACCCTTTTTTTATCTTTTATTGCAATGTTCTCATTATTATGAAATTTTTTATATATATTATAATTATCTTTAAACATATTTTAAATAATCATCTGAATATAAATTAATTTTTTAATAACTGGTTTTTTTTTAATATTTACAAGTTGTTATATTTTATAACTAATTGAACAGAATTTAAAATTGGGTTAAATTACATCTCAGTATAATCTTATCAAATAAATGTGGACAGTTTTTGGCATTTTTATTTTACAAGTCTTACAGAGAATAATTATAAAGTACACAATATATAAATTATTCTATTAGTTTTCATAAATGAAATATGAGATCAGTTTTTTTAATAGCAAGAGTTTCAGGAGACAATAATAATTAAATATTGAAAATATATTAACTTATATTGACTTTTCCTCTAAACAAAAAAATATTGGGTTGAACCAAAAGTTCGTTCGGGTATTTACATAATCGCTCGTCTGTGGTGCCTCTGTTGTGCTTATCAAGTTTTAACTTGTTTAAGTTGACATTATGAATATCTGCATATTTATTACATAAGTTTAATTACAGCTATTTTTTAAATTTTGTTAATTTTAAGAAAAAAAAAACATTAAAATGGAAGATAAGAAGGTGCATTTTCGATATCTGATGCTCTATTATTTCCAAAAAGGAAAAAAATGCAACAAAAACTCAAAAAAAGATATGTGCTGTATATGGGGATGATGCAGTTACTGATCGAACATGTCAGAAATGGTTTTCAAAATTCAGGGAGGGAGATTTTTCTCTCGAAGATGCACCTTGGTTAGGACGACCTTCAACCATAGAAGATGAGTCCGTAACAGCTTTAATTCAAAATGATCAGCATAAAACAACACGAGAGATAGCCGACATCTTAAAAATATCCCAAACATCTGTTGTCAGACATTTGGCTAGCCTTGGATACACTTCCCATTATGATGTTNAATATTTTAAATAATCATCTGAATATAAATTAATTTTTTAATAACTGGTTTTTTTTTAATATTTACAAGTTGTTATATTTTATAACTAATTGAACAGAATTTAAAATTGGGTTAAATTACATCTCAGTATAATCTTATCAAATAAATGTGGACAGTTTTTGGCATTTTTATTTTACAAGTCTTACAGAGAATAATTATAAAGTACACAATATATAAATTATTCTATTAGTTTTCATAAATGAAATATGAGATCAGTTTTTTTAATAGCAAGAGTTTCAGGAGACAATAATAATTAAATATTGAAAATATATTAACTTATATTGACTTTTCCTCTAAACAAAAAAATATTGGGTTGAACCAAAAGTTCGTTCGGGTATTTACATAATCGCTCGTCTGTGGTGCCTCTGTTGTGCTTATCAAGTTTTAACTTGTTTAAGTTGACATTATGAATATCTGCATATTTATTACATAAGTTTAATTACAGCTATTTTTTAAATTTTGTTAATTTTAAGAAAAAAAAAACATTAAAATGGAAGATAAGAAGGTGCATTTTCGATATCTGATGCTCTATTATTTCCAAAAAGGAAAAAAATGCAACAAAAACTCAAAAAAAGATATGTGCTGTATATGGGGATGATGCAGTTACTGATCGAACATGTCAGAAATGGTTTTCAAAATTCAGGGAGGGAGATTTTTCTCTCGAAGATGCACCTTGGTTAGGACGACCTTCAACCATAGAAGATGAGTCCGTAACAGCTTTAATTCAAAATGATCAGCATAAAACAACACGAGAGATAGCCGACATCTTAAAAATATCCCAAACATCTGTTGTCAGACATTTGGCTAGCCTTGGATACACTTCCCATTATGATGTTTGGGTTCCCCATAAGTTAAGTGTGAGATCTAGCCGGGGGTACAGAGTAGTTTATTACTCTTGTATCACTTAATCGGCTTCTAGTTGGTAAAACTAGTTCTCTAGTTGTCCAAAAGAATGGCTTTTCCTAAGTTGAGGAAAATGGAGTGCGGAGGGACTTACAGTTTAAATAAATTTAGAGCGGAAGTAGGTGATGGCGAATTCACCTTCTTCCTCGTCAGGGACCTGACACCAGTTAATCAGTTATTTTACACGCAGATTAACATGCATGTGGATATGATATGGATTTGATTCAGAGAGTTATCAAGAGACATTTCTTTAACAAATAATAATGAAAAATTTAATAAACTAAAATAAACAAATTATACAAAAATTGAAATAGTTAAATGCAATCGATTTAGATAATGAATAAATCAAAATATACGCGCCGAGAGAGAGAGCTCACAAATTTATGATAAACATACAACCTCTTTAGTTGACTTTATCTTCTTCTGTATTTGTCGAAGTTACTTTGTTTCTCTATTTCTCAGAATTCTGTTCATGGAGAGGTCTTGATAGGCACAATATAAACATTTCTTCTATTTCCTAACTAACTCATTTTAACATGGAATAATGATGTCTACCTTCTGGATACGATACTCATAACTAAGGGCGTTGGCCTTAAGAGCTTGAATGGACTATGTCTTCCCTTCATGGGATCTTCTGGCGTACTCTCTAACTAAGGGCATTGGCCTTAGGGAGAAAATATGGAAACCTCTTTCCACTTTCAGATCTGCAGACGTACTCTCTGAATTCTGCCAAACTTTGACTATATCTCTTGATTTACGACCAATCATCATACTTGGATTCTTTCACGTGAACGGATGAAAAGGGGGAATAAATGAGAGGTCGACAATTCTCATGGTGCTGAGATTTGTAACAGATAAGGGGAAAACAAAGGATGCTTCAGTTTCCATTAAAGGAAGTGGCTGTTTTATCAGTTTTCCCACGTTAGAAAACTGTTAATTTCACACCAAAATGAAAGAATATTTTTCTACAATAATTTAATTTTATTTTTAAATTGTTATTTAGACCCAGGGGCTATTCGGATCTCACATAAGTGAACAAAACCTTATTGAGTGTGTTTCTGTATGTGATTCACTTTTAAAACGCAATGAAGATGATCCCTTTTTAAAGCGATTACTAGCAGGTGATGAAAAATGGATAGTTTACAACAATATTCAACATAAGAGATCTTGGAGTAAACCAGGTGATCCTCCAGTGCCACAACCTAAAGCTGGTTTGCATCCCAGAAAAGTAATGATTTCAGTTTGGTGGGACTGGAAAGGGGTTCTTTATTATGAGGTTTTACCCAACAACCAAACAATTAATTCCAATAAATATTGTCTCCAACTGGATGAACTAAAGGCTGCAGTGCATCAAAAACGTCCAGAACTTGCAAATCGACAGGGAGTGGTATTCCATCATGATAATGCAAGACCGCACATATTGTTAAACATGCGCCAAAAACTTCTAGACTTTAACTGGGATGTTTTGAGTCACCCTGCATATTCTCCAGATATTGCTCCCTCAGACTATCATCTTTTTCATTCATTGCAAAATAATTTAAATTGCATAGAATTTCAATCTCTAGAAGGTATCAAAAATCACATTGATAATATAACACTCACCAAATAAACCATCACCAGTTCATAACCAAACAGAAAAATTCTTTCTACAAATGTTTTCATCTATTTGTAATAGACATCCTCAGGTATTGACGATATCGAACTAACGGCTAGTAGAATAGAATGTTTTTGAAAGTTCTGTTTAACTATAAATTACGGAGGATATTTATGTCATGATCTACGTGAAATCAATTATTTATTCAGATATGTTTTAAATATT